TGCGTTTTTAATTCGTTGCATAATTTTGTCCTCATATTTTATTTTACTGATGGTTTTTATTTGTGAGAATACACTTAAGGAGGTTTGCAAGTGTCGGAGACCTACTTCAGTCCATTGTTTAGGATTTTTAAATATTGGTTTTACAGACTCCTATTTTAGAAAATGATTCTCAATCCATTTTATAATGTTTGCGTCCGTCAAGTGGTCTACGTTCAACTTGAAATACGATGTCCCAAATTTAATTATCTGGTTGATTTTAAATTCTATGATGATGGGGAGGTGATCTGAGGGGGATCTTGTGTGAACGTTTGTTTTCAAGCATGTTTCCCAAGATCTACCTCTCATCAACACAAAATTCGGCCTTCTTCTTACTTGTGGTACTTGTGACCCGCACCAGTGTACCCGTGGGCATCTGGGTGCAGGGTCTATGATACAATAAAAAAATGCAACATCTTCTATTCCTTTCTCAAGGCAATTGGTTTTTGACTTGTCAAGTCTCATGTTCAAAATCGTGTTCCAATCAGCAACTATGATCAAATTTTAATCGTTAGGGATAAAGTTGAACAATTCTGCTATAAATCTGGATCTTTTTTTGTAATCCACAAGTAAGTACGCAAATATCACAGTCTAGTCCTTATTTTCTCCCGTAAACTTTACCCATACCCATTTCCCCCAGATGTCTACAATACTGTCTATGATTTTTGTTTTAAGATCCTCTTGGAAAATGATGTCGGTACCTCCACGGGTTCAGGAGTTGCCCTGTCCACGCCTCGCTTGTGCCCAAAACTGGGGGCCGGTTCACGACTTTGTTGATTCGGTAATTTTTTTTCATCTAATTTTGATTCTTGTAAGCACAAAACTTGAATTTTATTTCGGAGCAGCTATGTTCTTAATTTGTCTCTCGTGTATTTTTTATTTGTGTCACACAGTCCTCTCAAATTCCAAAAAGTTATGTGCAACTTGCCCTTAGGATGCATAACTTACCTGTTCCACCACCTTGGTCTGAATGTTGGCGTTTGGATCAGCTTTGTTCTTCTTCCTGCGTCTGCTAACGTCATCCCCTATCTGCAGTTGGGAATCAGACCAGGTGGTGTTCATTGCTTTCTCAAATTCTTCTGTGAAAATCATGTCTTTGTGGATTGCCTCGTCCAACCATTTTGCAACAATCTTTCAAGTTGTTGTGAAAAAACCTTTGAAAAAAACTCGTTCAAGCTACTCATTAAGAGTTGAGTCAAGGTATGAGATATAAAACCATGTCCTATTTATGACTTCCAATCTTTTTTTGGTCCATCATATCATCTAGGAAGGGGAAGAGTCATTCCACCTTGTTCCTAGTGTCATCCTCTATGATGCAGATGCTTACCCGCATGATTGGGACCATTCACAATCTTAGATACGTGGGGATTAGACTTTTGGCCTTGGTCCGGATATTAGATTCTGTCAGTGGGCCGTCAACTGTTGTTGTTACGGTGGGGAGTTCGAGCGACCCATCTAGCAACTGTGGCGCTAGGATCACCAGTCTCTTGTTGACACTGACACAAATTAGGGGGACAATGATTTGGGGGACGCTCTTGTCCCCTTTCTTGAGGGCTTTGGTTGATTGTGCATTAGTGAGGCTGTCGTGATTCTTTTCTTTTCTTTCGCCACTTTTTCGCTCCGTTGTTCTTTCCTTTAGACCCCCGACTCCGGCTTCGATAGCTTCCCTCTCTCCATCAAGTAGCCGGATCACCACATCTTCGATTATTTTCCTACCCACTTTCTCTCCCGTTATTTTTGGGCCTCTTTGCATATCCTCTTGTCCCTCATGGTCCTTGCAGTATGATTCTACATCCTTGTCTCCCTCCTCCTCCTCCTCTTCTTTTGTTAAGTTCATTCGACTTTTCTCCTTTTTCAATTGTTCGTTTCTTTGATTTTCCCCCCCTCCTTTTCCAAATTTGCTTCGCATTCTCTTTCAAGCCAGATTCTTTTCTTCGCTTCGTTTGCGATTGCTCCTCTTTCTTCCCTTTTTTCCTTTCTGCCTTGTTCCCTCTCGTTCTTTGCGCATTAATCTCTTTTTGTCCCAAACTATCTTTTCTCATTCTCTTTCCCCACTTTTTTGTCATTGTAATTTAACTTTTTTTTGTTTCTAGCGTTCTTCCTCATTATTACAAAGGAAAACCCTTCACTCAACGATGAAAGTCTTTTGTGGGTGGCGTCTCTCCCTTTGGAACGAAGTCCTAGAAAGGGGGTTCGAGTGCTGGGGTTCTCACCCCTTGCATTGCAAACGGGTCACTTTCTTTCAGCAGATAACAGTCCTGGGTTTCCAAATGATAGTTTGCCTTGCACACTCCACACCATGGGGTGTCTGCCGAAATAATTTCGAAGGAATAATCAACATGGTATGGGATTCCGACTACGAGTCTCGACTTGATGTGTGGCTTAGTGAATACATCCAACTCAAGTCGGACATTCCTTAATTTTGGATTTTTTTTTTTTTTACTCAGTGGGGTGTGCTTTCAGGACTGCTTCGAAAGTCATTTTCACCTCGGTTCTTAGGGTTGATATGCAATCTATCAAACTAGTTACCAAAGGCGCGAAGCACCATTCCAAGTATTTAGTGTGATCGAAAATATACAGTATGGACTTGACTCTTTACTGCAGGGGCACCCTCGAGCAACGAATCCAAACGAATTTTTGAGCATTGTCCTTGAACACTTTCATCTCTGCACGGTAGAAACCAGACTTTGTACTCTTTGACTTCCGACTCGATTTCATCCATTTGTTTTTCAGCATCCATTGGATGACACTAGTATCCGCAGAGACAAAATAACACAATTTTTTTCCTTTGGTCTGATATCTTCCTTTTTTCACCGAATTGTTAATCATGCCATCATCGTACTATGCATTTTCATAAACTCTAACTAATTTATTTTTGAGACTATTAGAGAGAGTCTCGACATGCAGGAGAAGATAACGGTAATCGCATGTTCTTTCAACCATTGTGCATTACGATATGAGAATTCCTTGTTCAAATTTAAATGACCAATGTCTTCTTAAAAACTCGGTACCCCGACATTCATCTTTGTAGGAAAGAGTCCGTCTTTGAAGTAGGTCTCCAACAGGGAGTCAATTTGTTTCTTGTCCTCCTCTTCTGTATAGTTTTTGCTCTGCTGGGCGTTGTCCCCACCCTGGCCTATTGCTCCTTGGTCCATTTCCCCGGTCGCGCGTTCCTGAAAAAAAAAAAAAACAATATATCTTCGTGGGTGTTAGGATTGTTAAAACTCGCTCCTTTGTGAAAGACGAGTTTTTGCAGCAGGAGGAGTAGGGTTTCGATAGGAATCTACTCCGAGTCAAAAAGGAATAACCGATAATTATTAAACCATTAAGAATTAAGGTATTTACTGGTAATAATATGGTATCCCATACTTAGGTAATAATTTTGAGGCTGAGCCTGTTTGCTGTGATGAAGTTTCTTACTATTTCGAGTTTTGGACAAATAAGTGGAAAAATTTTCCAGTTTTAAGAGTTTGGCTTTTGCCCTATTATTTTCTTACTGCTTCGATTTGAATTTTTGAGCAACGGATGAGAATTAAAATTACCTTATACTGCAAAAAAAAAATTTAAGATATACGTGGAGCATAATCTTTGCGACTTTAGGGTTGTACCTATCTTTTTGTTTCGTACTTTCTTTATCAAGTGATATATGTGAGAGTAGACGAGCGGCAAGGAGGGGGAGTAAATACAACAAAGAGGAAGAATGTTCTATCTCATGTGAGACCGGAGAGTCCTATTGGGGTTAGAAAGACGATACATCTTCTCAATTTACCCGTTTAACTGTGAGTTCTTGTTCGTCGAAGAAAAATATAGTATGAAAGCTCAATTCCATTGTTGCAGAATGACCTTGGTTAGTAGCGAAATCCAGAGGGTTCGATGGCTGGTCTGTCAGTTCCTTCACATCAGAGCGGAGCGAAGATTGTGAGAGAATATTTAACCATATGTTGTCTTCGGCACGTGTTCCCCGGTTTATGGGGAAAAAAGGCGACTTCATCCACTTGTTTGTCTTGTATGTGACAGCTGAGTGTTCTGCTACCCGGGTGGCAGCAACACAAAGGATTCACTGGGCTGCTCGTGGAATGGATCTGCCCACCCCTGTGGAGTGTTTGTGTTCTTGTGTACAAGCATTGCATTCCTTTCCTAATCCGCCATAGCCAAGCTGTGGTGGACGAGCGGCACTTTGGTCCCCCGAAGTTACCGCGGTGAAAGAACACGGGCCTGGGTGACATCCACAGCAACATGCGCTATGCCCGACTTTTCCGTTCTCTCGGCGTGTATTGTTTTCGAGGAGGCGTGCTCATGCTGTGGAGCAACAGAAAACCACAGTTTCCAGAATTTTCAGATGTGTCCAACTAAACCAGGCCTGAACCCAGGCTTGGTTTCGAGTGTGCTCCAGTTTCTGCCATCGTGTCTGCAAATCTCACTGTGGCCAGGTTGATAATTGCTCGAAAGGAGGGCTACACGCTCGCGATGGCAGTGCCCCCGATCGGCGTGGGCAAGGCCTGGGCCATTTATGGCCCAGTTGAATGAGCCCTACATAGGGTAGTGGAGCAAGGCTCGACGTTCTGTTTCACGACTATTCCTGTAATCCGACTCTGACGGAATCGAACGGGCGATGTATGGACGGCCGGGTGCCAACCACTATCCCCGTGAATTTCTGAAGTCGAGGCTCTCAACAGGGGACGGTGGGTGGGGTCTATCCAGGGGCTACGTCCCACTTGCACGAATTAAGAGATAATAATGACCGCAGATAACAAAGATCAACGGCCGAAATCTCCAACTCCTAATGTGCGCAAGTGGGACCTTGCCCCAGGGTTCGTTTCCGTTTCTGTTCTCTCGGCAGTGGCGCCGCAGTTTTCCCTTCCCGCCCCCATCCCCGTCCCCGCGCACCCGCCAGAATGTTTTTGAGAGCAGGCCCCCACGTTCGCTTTCGTATTGTGTCTCCCGCGCTCGTTTTCGTATTGTCTCCAACGCAGGAGGAGAGAAGTGGCGCCAGGTACTACACAGTGAGAGACGAACAGAAAGATGGCGCGAACGACTGTGGTACATAAGGTGGAGGAAGTCTTTCTGAATGCGCTGGGGGGAGTTCGAGGCCGGCAGAACTTAGCCGCGTGGGGAGTCGCAGCGACTGCGGCGTATTTCTTGTGGGTTCGACCAGAGATGAAAGCGAAGGAGGAGGCAGAGGCAAGGGCGGCCCTACGGGAAGCAGAGAAGCGAAGGGAGATGGAGACTGCAACCAAGTCATACTCGTGATCATCGCTCAGGGTAGGCAATTCAGGGCATACTCAGACTAGGTAGAACTATCGTAAATGTGTCTGACCGCATTTATGGCAGGACCTGTATGCATCTGGGCGCAATTCCGTCCAGAAGTAAAAAAAAAGTGCTGGTGTGAGTTTGCCCCCCTCCTTACGGGAGAGTAGTGTAGGGTTCTCTTGACATGTAAATAAAACTAGAGACGTCAGTCCCCATGGGAAGGAGTACCGTGCGACGACTCTTTGTTGCTCAGTCGTCGCACTTCGTCGCACACACACCGATATGGGCGACACTCCGGTAAGCCATCCATCCATCACATGCCACAGGCGGGAGAGTAGTTCTGCATGTCGCACCTTAGGGGACGCGATCATCATTTTATACACGGCTATATGTTCAAGGTGGTTGCGCTTGATGGCCTTCGAGGGGACTGTGCTGTGAAGGCACAACACTGGACTGTGGGGGTTTAACAGTAGGTAGTAGGGGTATTAAGACCCCTAATATGGCTGGTGAAAAAGCGTGAGGTAGTACAGTCCCGGAGACCCTTGTATGATTGTATACTGGTCCTCTCACGTCGGCGCGTCTTCTCCTTTCTTATGTAATATTTGAATTAGACACTTGTTTTTTTTTACCTCTCGCTTTCTCAGGAGCCGTTTTAGACAGAAACTTTGTGTGTGTGTGTGTGTGTTTTTAAATTTTTCTTTTTTTTTTTGATTTGTGTTTTAGGCTGTGCTGTAAGACCGCAAAACTCGTCGGGGGATTGCAGTGACGCCGTCGCGTACGTTTGTACACGCGCCATGAATGTTTTTTACGTTGATGTCAACAAGTTGTTTTTCCGACACTTGGGGCAATTTGGGTTGTCGCGGAGGGCATGCCCTTTTCCCCGTCAGATTTTTTTATTTTTTTATTTTATTTATTTTATTTGTAATGGCAGTCAGCTTTCTGCTGTCTGAAAACCCGTGGAGTTGGGAAGTATTCAAAAAAAGAAACCCGTAGAGTTGATTGATTACCAACTGAAATTGAGAAACCTTGGTCCACTTTAATCCAGTTTTTTTTTTTTTTTTTTTTTTTGGGAAAAAGCGAGAATTCCATTGTGAACCCACCACTGAGGCCACTTTAATCCAGCTTTAATCCAGTTTTCAATCTTTCCCCTCGGAAAAAGAAACACGAAAAACAAATTGAAACCCCTTGGTCCACTCTAATCCAGTCTGTTTTTTTTTCTTTCAACGAGTTCCTGGTGGTTCCACTTGTTGGACAACTCGGTTTTTTTTTTTTTTTTGTTGGCACAACTCGGTTTCTACTTATTACCTCTTGGTTTCCTTCCCCTGTCCTAGGTATTGTTTGAATTATAATAGCTAGACTAGATTTGTGCTTTCCCGCTCCTCCCCCCCCTACCCCCCTCCCCTCCCCTACCATCCCCCCCTCCTTTTTGGAATGCGTTTCTGTGTCGTTCCAATTTGAGCGAATGTCCGGAAAAGGACATTTTGTGCTGTGTAGTTGTTTCTTGTGTTTTTGGTGTGATATGCAAAGTAAAGGTCACATTTCTTGGTTTCCACTCAGAGATCAAACCGTTTTTTTTTTTTTTCCAAAGTTTGTTCATTGTTCCCAGTTGAAGACGGTCTGGTCTACGTTTGAGGAGGTTTTAGGGTTTTGTCAGATTTCTACTCCTTACGTGTCAAACTGTAGGTTCGGTCTACATATAGTTTGGTCGGTTTAAGGCAGAAAAGTAAGATAAGAAGAGGCACCTTGGTCTCTTTTGAAAAAAATAAAAAGAACTTGAGATTTGTCGGTCTGCACTCTCCATGCTTCCCTTCATGCCAGCAAGCAGACCAACGAATTGTCTTTGGTCTCTTTTAAAAATAATAAAAATGAGATTTGTCCCTCTCATTCCTGGCTCAGCAGCGGAAAAAAGAAGAACAAAACAAGGCAAGAAAACACACACCCAAAGACAATCCGTAGGAATCTTTGTATTCAATTCTCTCTCTCTCTCTTTTGTCGACCTCGAACCCGTCTCCTTCCCTGGGCCAAGTCCCACTGGCAGCATTGAGTTTCCTCAACGCATGAATCTGGACGTGTTTGTGGAGATATGCAGAAATCGCGTTGAGTTTCCTCAACCGCACATCGCCACAAACGTGTCCAGATTCAGGGGTTGAGAAAATTCAACACTCTGCTAATTGGACTTGGCTCTAGGTTTCTTCTTGCAAAGCGCCGCTGTGCGGTGAGAAAATTCCTGCGTTCGACACGTGGCATCCTAATCAGTCGTGTGAGGAATGTCAGGCTATGCTCAACATCAAAATTTACCCTGAACGTCAACATTTACCCTGATCATCAAAATTTAACAGCGACAGGCCATGATGAGGCCATACTAAACAACGAAATTTGATGTGCCAGTCGTCTGAGTTGCAGATCCATACTTCAAATTTCTACTTCACGGAGACTCTCCATGGTCTTTTCTTCCTCTTCCTCCTCCTCCTAACTCATAGACACCTTCGTTTAGAGCTTTGTCGTCGTCCCCTCCTCGGCTGCCTCTCCTCTCCTTCTGTGCCCCTCCCCTTCCTCCTCCCTCTTCCTTTTCCTTTCTACTTCATCGACACTCTCCTTGAGCCGTTCCTCTTCTCCTCTTCTCCTCTTCTCCTTCTCCTCCGGTGCCGCTCCTCTCGTTCTGCTCCCCCTCTCCTCCTTCTCCTTTTGCCCCTTCACCTCCCTTTCTTCACCTTTCTAACTCGTCGAGACTCTTCGTTAGCTGTTCCTCCTCCTCTTCCTCCATCGTTGTGCCTCTGCTCCTCCTTGTGCCCCTCCTCCTCCCCTTGCTGTGGACCCTCCCCCTCGCGCTCCTCCGCCGCCTCCCTGATCATCGTTGTCATTAACTCATCGTCACTCTCCTTGAGCTGTTCCTCCTCCTCCTCTTCTTCTCGTCCTCCCCCGATGCCTCTCCTCTCCTTCTGCCCCCTCTCTACGCCTCCTGCTCCATCTCCTCCTCCCTTTCTCTTCCTTTCTAACTCATCGATACTTGTCTTTATCTGTTCGTCCTCTTCCTCCTCCTTGTCCTCCTCCCCCTCCATCTCCTGTTTGTCCCTCTCCTCCTCTCCTTCCTGCTGCCCCTCCTCCTCCTCGTTCTCCTCCGCCTCCTCCATCATCATCGCTGTCATCATCAGTATCTTGCGCTTTTCGTTGTTGAACGTCTCTAATTATTTGCTCTCTTGTCGGCGAAGGAGGTGAAACTTAATATGCACTCAGTTAATATGCACTTAATTTGCTCTCTTGTCTGCGCGAGACTGTGGGTTATACTTGCACTCGCGAACTACTGAGGGTCGGGTGCAGATGATGCATCTGCGGACCACAGCGCATCATGGGAAAAATGACTGCGGGTTATATTTGTCTCTGGCGCACCCGAACGGGCGACCGGAGTTTCTCTTTCTGTTTCTCTCAGGGCATACTCACACTAGGACTTGAGAGTTTCCCTTCTCTTTCTCTCAGGTCGGTCGGCCCATAGATGCTGTCAAATACATCTCAGATAGAGCTAGTGTGCATACGGCCTCCCCTCTTTTTAAACTTTAAAGTCCCTCCCCTCTTTTTTTCTTCAAGAAGTGAAATTTCAGGCCACTCGCATCGGAGAATTTGAATTGGCTTTTCAAGGCGACTTAAAAGGGTTTGTCTTTACGAGTGAGGATCCTCCGTTCTCTTTAAAAAACAAATGACGATCCTCAATTCTCTCAACCCCCCTCCCCC